AAGCCCAACTGGACTTCAAACAGGACCTGAAACTAATGGGCCCAAGTAAAGGCAGAAACCAGGAGGTTGGAGAGTGAAGGAACCATCAGTTTGTGAAAATGGGCACCCCCCGGTTGTACCAATGGCGAAGCCTGATGGGTTGCTTCACCTTTGTGGGGATTTTAAACAAACGGTATCACAGTTGGATAAGCCCCCAGTTACCTCAGATAGAGACTTATGAACAAAACTGGCAGGGGGGGGTGCTGCCCTCAGGAAGCTGGGCATGAGCCATGTCTACCTGCAATTACGACTAGATGAGGAGTCCCAGATGTAGGCCACAATTAATATCCGTTTGGGTTTGTACTGGGATAAAAGATTTGGGTATCATCAGCCTGTGGCCTTTTCCAGCCGACAATGGAGGACACTTTACAAAGGTCTACCCCAGGTCGCCATTTATCTGGTCGCCATTTAAATGCTAATAGGCATTTGGACACAGCACATTTCTCCCAGGCCTTAGGAGGGGGTGCATGTGTGTTCCAAGTGAGCTACTAGGCTGCAGGGTTGACAAGACCATGTTACGCACACATTGGAAGATAAAGTGAGGGTGGTCAAAGGTGCCCCGGCTCCCATGTCCGTAACGGAGCTTAGGTTTTTCCTTGGGTTAGTGAATTATTCCAGAAAATTGATACATACCCTGGCCTGTGTCTTGACACCTGCTATTGAAGAAAGGGTCAACTTTAGAGATGGTCATGTAGCCAAGAAGTAGCCTTTTGAGGTGTAGAAGCTGGCTATTGTCATCGGTGGTGTTTTTGGCCCACTATGACCCCAAGCGAGACCTGGTGCTGACATGTGATGCCTCCCTGTACAGTATTGGGATACTATTGGCTCATTGGTGGCCCAATGGAGATGAAGGTCCAATTGTGTACACTTCCTGGATTTTCAGGTTGATCCCAGATGCAAATATGCCCAAATCGAGAAGGAAGGTTTGGCGCTCATCTTCGCATGAGAAAGTCCCACCGATATCTTCGCGGGCGTAAATTTGTAATAGCGATGGATCACAAACCCTTGCTGGGGCTACTTAAAGAAGACAAGGTAGTGTTGCCCGTGGCTTCTGGTCAAATTCAGCAATAGGCCCTTACTCTTAGCGTGTACGATTACAAGTTGGAGCACCGTCCAAGAGTCCAAGTGGCAAATGCGGGTGCATGGAGCTGCCTCCCACTGGCGGATACACCATCGGTGGTGCCACCACTGGAAGAGTCCATTCTGGTTTTTAAACTTTCCGGGCACCCTTTCGGTCATCACCAACAATATCCAAGTGTGGACCCAAAAAGATCCCGTCCTGGCAAAACTAAAACAGCTGGTGGTGATTGGGGGAATCCAAAACGGCCGTCACAACTAGAATTGAAACCTTTCAGGACCCGGAGACACCAGATCACCGTAGAGGATGGCATTTTATTGAGGGGGGCAAGAGTGATCGTCCCAAGTAAAAGTTGCTGCCAAATGCTGGCTAAACTCCAACAGGGTCATCATCCAAAATGAAGATGTCGGCAAGAAGTTATGTCTGGTGGCCCAGGATTGGATGCCAACATAGCTGTGTTGGTGTGGCACTGCCCAGAGTGCCGACAAAGGACAAAATTTACCGCCAGCGGCTCCCCCACATTCATGAGGATAGCCAGATAAACCCTGGTCTCAGTTACACGTCAACTCTGCTGGTCCTTTCATGGGCTCAATGTTCTGTGTCATTGTGGATGCATGTCATTGGGCAGCATGGTGGCTCAATGGTTAGCACTGCTACCTCACAGTGCCAGGGACCCAGGTTCAATTCCACCCTCGGGCGACTGTCTGTGTGGAGTTTGCACATTCTCCCTGTGTCTGTGTGGGTCCCCTCCGGGTGCTCCGGTTTCCTCCCACAGTCTAAAGATCCGCAGGTTAGGGTGGATTGGCTATGCTAAATTGCCTGTAGTGTTCAGGGATATGTAGATTAGGTGGGTTATAGGGGGATGGGTCTGGATGGGATGCTGTGAGGGTCAGTGTGGACTTGTTGGGCCAAAGGGTCTGTTTCCACACTGTAAGGATTCTATGATTCACTTCTGAAACGGTTGGATGCTCATTCGTCAAACTCAGGGATGATTGAAATAGCTGCGAGTATAGTTCGCAATATGTGGACTCCTAGAATTATTGGTCATGGACAATGGGATGTCATTGGCCAGCAGGGATTCAGAGTTTTCCCAAAAGTTGAATGGCATTTGGCATGTTCGGACAGTCCCATCGTCCAATGGTCTGGCGGGTGGAGCAGTCAGGATGTTAAAGGCAGGCCCAGAAGAGACAGCCTACAGCTTTGCTTGAGACCAAAGTGTCCCGAATCCTGTTTGATTACAGGACCAACCCTCACACAACTACAGGTTAGCTCCAGCAGAATCGCCAACGGGGAGAGGACTCTGCAACAGGTTAAGTCTGATATTCCTGATAGACCTGGTGAGAGGGGCATGGAGGGTGAAAAAGCATCAGGAACGCCAATGCTAGCCTCATGTTACCTCTAAGTGAGAGAGACAGTTGGCTTCAGGAGATAAAACTTGGTGTCAGTAGGATGGAAATGGCCCTGCGTGGGCATGAGGCAAGGTCAGGTCCTGTGAGGTGCAAAGTTGAGGCGGCTCCGAACAAACGTGGACCACCCGAAAGCTGCCACATCACAAATGGAGCAGGAGGCAAAACATACCCACCCACCCCCCTCAGGAACTGTGGATCGCACCCCCTCCACCCATCCAGCATTGGTGAAACCTCAGAGTCTGCGAAGGACGCAGTGTTGACACTATTAGCGCCCGAAGGCAAGGAGGAAATTCTTCGGGAGCAGGGGATGGGTTACAGTACAGTTCACGCTGCCTCAGAGTTGGAAGAACTGGACCTAGGGCGAAGGCTTCCCAGGGGAGGCACTAAGAAAAGGAACAGACCTACATCCTGGGACTTAGGCGATGTAGTGATTGGAACCAGATTGGCCAGGTGGATTTCATAGAATATGAGTTCCCTGATTGGGGCTGTTAACTTGGGCCAATCAGTGAGTCTTGGCTGATAAATAGAAACAGGAGTCTCAGGGATTTTTTACTTTGAACCAAGTGATTTTTTAAATAGAATCCCTACAGAATGGCAACGGGCCCTTCGGCCCGACAAGTCCACACTGACCCACAGAGCATCCTGTCCAGATCCATTCCCCTATAAACCCACCTAAGCTACGCATCCCTGAACACTACAGGTTATTTAGCATGGCCAATCCACCTAACCTGCACATCTTTGGACCGTAGGAGTAAACCGGTACAAACCTGCAGAGAACGTGCAATCGCCACACAGACAGTCACCTGAGGGTGGAATCGAACCCAGGTTGCTGGAGCTGTAAGGCAGCAGTGGTAACTACTGAGCCACCATAGCTGCTGGACTTGATAGTGAGGCAATGGCCTAGTGTTATTATCACTGGACTGTTAATCCACAAACCCAGATAATTGTCTGGGGATCCGGGTTTGAATCCCACCAAGGCAAATGGTGGAATTTGAATTCAAAAAATATCTGGTTTAAATGTGGTTGACTCTTATCTGCTGGATGGGCAGTAAATGCCCAGCGATGCCCTCATCCTGTGAATGAATTGGGCCCGGGTGGAGAAAACCTGAAGTATGTTATACTTTGGGTTATAGGGTGTTGTGTTATGTTATAGGGTGGCTCAGTGGTTAGCACTGCTGCCTCACAGCACCAGGGACCCGGGTTCAATTCCATCCTCGGGCACCTGTCTGTGTGGGGTTTGCATGTTTTCCCTGTGTCTGCGTGGGTTTACTCCCACAGTCCAAAAATGTGCAGGTTAGCATGGACTGGCCCTGCTAAATTGCCTGTACTGTTCAAAGATGTGTAGATTAGGTGGGTTATAGGGAAAGGGTCTGGGTGGGATGCTCTGAGGGTCGGTGTGGACTTGTTGGGCCAAAGGGCCTGTTTCCACACTGTAGGGATTTTATGTTATGTTTCTACATTAAGGGATTCTCCTCACTCCAGGGTCTGGCTCTGAGCTCTGGGTCAATGTCGTGCACTATGCACATGGAAATAAAGGGTGACTTGCTGACAGGATACAGGCCTCTATGGAGTTATGTCACCATACGTCATCCCTATACTTGTAACCTCCGCCAACCCATACACCCCTCCCTATCTCTGTAACCGCCTCCAACCCATACGTCCTCCCTATCCTTGTAACCTCCTCCATCCCTCTCTGTTTAACGCTTCACTACCCTCCATATCACTATATCTTCCTTGGAACCCTCCCTCAACTGGACATTGATCAGAAGTAATAGATAGAGTGGACAGCCAGAGACTTTTTCCTATGGTAGAGGTAGCTATTACAAGGGGGCATAGTTTTAAAGTGAGTGCAGGTAAATATAGGGGAGACGTCAGAGGTAGGTTCTTTACTCAGAGAGTGGTTGAGGTGTGGAATGCATTGCCGGAGAGGGTAGTGGAGTCAGCCTCATTAGGGACATTTAAGCGGCTATTAGATAGGCATATGGATGAGAGTATAAGGTAGGGGTGGAGGTTAGATAGACCTTAGATTTAGGGTAAAAGTTTGGCACAACATTGTGGGCAGAAGGGGCAGTACTGTGCTGTACTGTTCTATGTTCAACTGCTGGTCCCCATGACAACACAGTCCTTTTGCCCTGGTACCTTGCAGCCTCTGGCCTACTTTTCCCGTTGACTAAAAGGGAACGTGGCCTGGTTCAGGAGGGTAGCTTAGCTGCAGCTGACAAGTAGGTTTACAGCTATAGAAGCGGATTTCCTTTGAGAAGAGTCACCAACAACACAAGGCCCAGACTCTGCTGTCCCACAGACACAAAAGAATGGTCGCCTACTTTGTTTATTGTGACTGTCCCTTTCTTTTGTTTTATTTAGATCGGACAGGTGGAGCCCGATTCCTGGAATCTCTCTCACACTCACTCTCTCTCATTCTCTCACTCTCATTCTTATATACCTCCTTTGTCCCCTTAAAGTACAATCATGGGTTTAAAAAAAAAGACGCAAAACACTTTTTAATTTAATGGAGGAGAGCCGCGACAGCTGCTAACGTGAACAGTGAGGCCTAGTTTAGGCTGTCCCTCTCGCCTCTTATTCCCTCACTTTCACGCTCACTCCTTCCCTCTCTCTCTCACACAGTGGAGCCATCGTCAAGGTATTCCAGTTCAGTGCCGTTCTGCTTGAATTCCCGGTCCAGGAGAGAAGGACTTCTGCGGAAAGTGGCTGCGATCTGCTCAAAAGTCTTTCCCCGCGTCTCCGGCACCTTGAAGTAGGTGAAGCCAAAGAAACCGATCAGCAGAAAGGCGAAGATAAGGAAAACAAACGGGCCGCACAGCTCCTGGCGAAGGGAAAAGAGAGAGACTTACATTGTTGTATTACCCGAAGATATCCCAGTATGCTTTACAGACAGGGAAAGGGTTTGTTTTTCATTAACAGACTGCTATCCAACCATTAACTTTGACAACAAAAGACGCTGAGATGTTTGCAAAGGATTTATGGTAAATCTACAGTTTAGCACAAACAACAGTTTCCACCTTTCCCCCCCTGGGCCCATTCCCTACAGCTGACACGTTGTTACCCACTCACTTTGGGGGTTGGGTGGCTCATTTGGCTCTGTAGCTGATATGTGACGTTTCAATTCCCACCTGCAGCTCAGATTGCTGTGAGGGACTCAACCTCTCCCATTGCCTGAGGCACGGTGACCTATTGGTTAAAAATCAATCATCTCTTTCCTCTGAGAGACTGGGAATGTGCTCGCCCACTTGCCAGTGTGTCCCAAACCTCCTGAAGGCACTTTACATCGTTATCATTTGCACACTTTCCCACCAAGCTTTGTGTCATCTGGGAGCATGGACATATTCCATTTAGACCCCACTCCCAGATCATTGCTCTGTGTTGTCAGCAGTTAGGGCTCAAATATGGATCCTTGGTGTACCCCACCAATCACAGCATGCCTATACAAGCTTGATAATTTATTTCTACTCCCTACCTTTTAGCTAATCCTCAATCCACGACAGTACACTACCTCCTTTTCCCATTTGCTTTCATATTCAGACCAACCTCCTTTGTGGGGGAGGGGGCTGTTTTCCAACTGTTGGCTGGCCCAATCTAACTGCCCATCTCAAGTTACCCTGCTAAAGTTGGTGATGTGTCAACTCTTGGACTGTTGCAGACTGTTTGCTGTAAGGATCCCCAAAATGTCATGAGGGAAGGAATTCCAGGATTTTGACCCAGTGACACTGAAGGACGGTGATATATTTCCAAGTCAGGATGGTGTGTGGGTCAGAGCAGAAGGGAACCTACAGTGATGGTGTTCCCATATATCTGCTGCCCTGTCGTTCTCAGTGGTAGAGGTCATGGGCTTTGGAAATGCTGTCTAAGGAAGTTTGGTGAATTTCTGCAGTGCATTGTGTAGATGGCACACACTGCTGCTACTGAGAGTCGGTCGTCAAAAGAATAAATTTTGAAGGTGGTGAACAGAGTACCAATCAAATTCAATCAAACAGTGTCGAACTTCTTGAGTGTTGTCGGAGCTGCGAGTGCGGAGTATTCCATCACACTCCTGACTTGTGCCTTGTGGGTGTTGGACAGGCTTTAGGGAGTCAGGAGATGAATTATTTGCTGCAGGACTTCTAGCCTCTGGCCTGCTCTTGTCATCACTGTATTTATATGGTTAGTCCAGATCAGTTTCTGGTCAATGGTACTCCCCAGGATGCTGATAGTGGGAGATTTAGTGATGGTAATGCTATTGAATGTCAAGGGATGGTGGTTACATTTTCTCCTGTGGGAGATGGTCATTGCCTGGCATTTGTGTGGCGCAAATGTTATTTACCACTTATCAGCCTAAGCCTGGATATTGTCCAGAGCTTGCTACATTTGAACATGGACTGCTTCAGTATCTGAGGAGTCGTGAATGGTGATGAATGTTGTGCAATCATCAGTGAATATCCTCACTTCTGACCTTATGATGGAGGGAGGGTCATTGATGAAGCAGCTGAACATAATTGAGCCGAGGACACAAGTGAACAGGGAACACACACACACACACACACACATGCATACACAAACACACAGACACACACACACATACATAAACACACACATGCATATACGCACACTCACATATACACACACACACCCACATACACCAACACACCCACATATACACACACAGGCACACACGCACATACACGCGCGCACATACACACACACCCACACACACACACAGACAGACAGACACACAAAGACACAGACACACACACATACACACAGACACACACACTCACACACTTCCAGACGTACCACAATGTACTGGAACGTCATCGCCACAATGAAGTTCGAGGTCCAGTTGGCAAATCCAGCAATGGTCATCGCTGCAGGCCTTGGGCCCTGGCTAAAGAGTTCAGCCACGATGAACCATGGGATAGGGCCTGGGCCCACCTCAAAGAAGGCCACAAAACCAAAGATGGCAACTGTGCTGATGTAGCTCATCCACGGCAGCTTCTCCTGTGGGTGAGTAGGGAGTAGGAAATGAAGAGAGAAAGAGAATGTTAATGAAGTGCAGAGTTAAAGAGAGAAGGTCAAACACTCGGGGTGGGGGGCCCATCAAACACGGGACAGAATGTTGAAGACAGAGACAGAGAGAGAAAGAGGTCAAACATGGGGAGACAGAGAAGGTCACACATGGGGCGAAAGTGGGGTAGGTCAAACGCAGGAGAGAAAATGGTCACACAGATGAGAGAGAGAGAGGTCAAACATAAGGAGAGAGAGGGAGATGGTCAGTCGTGGAGAGAGAGAGAGAGAGAGAAGGTCAATCACAGTGAGAAAAAAGAGAGAGAAGATCAATCACACACAGAGGGAGAGAGAGAAAGTCAATCACAGAGAGAGAGAGAGGGAGAAGGTCAATCACACAAAGAGAGAGAGAGAAGGTCAATCACGGAGAGAGGGAGAGAGAGAGAGAGAGAGAGAAGGTCAATCACAGAGATACAAAGAGAGAAGGTCAATCATGGAGAGAGAGAGTGAGAGAGAGAGATAGAAGGTCAATTACAGAGATATAGAGAGAGAGGTCAATCACGGAGAGAGAGAGAAGGACAATCACACAAAGAGAGAGAGAGAAGGTCAATCACAGAAAGAGAGAACGTCAATCGCAGGGAGTGAGACAGAAGGTCAATCACAGAGAGAGTGAGAAAAGGTCAACATGTGGAGAGGTAGTGAGACAACATCAAACATGAAGAGAGAGAAGGCCAGACACAGGAGAGACAGAAGGTCAAACATGGGGCGAAACATAGAGAAGGTTAAACACAGGGAGACAGAGAGAAGAAGGTCAGACAAGAGGAGAAAGGAAAAACAGAAGGTCAAATACAAAAAGCGAGAAAAGGTCAAACACGAGGTTAGAGAGAGAAAGGTCAAACGCCAAGAGGGAAAGAAAGAGAGGTCAAAGAAAGGGAGAAAGTGAGACAGAATGTAAATTATGGAAAGCGAGAGATCAAAGATGGGGAGAGAGCAAGAGACAGTCAAACACAGGGAGAGTGAGAGAGACAGAAAGCCAAACACGAGAGACAGAAGGTCAAATATGGGGGAGAGAGATAGAGAGACCAAACAAGAGGAGAAAGAGAGGCAGAAGGTCAAAGAAAGGGTGGGAGGGAGAGAGAGAGAGAGAGAGAGAAGACCAAACAAAGGGAGTGAGAATGTCAAAGACAGGAAGAAAGATAGGAGTTCAAACACTGAGAGAAAGAGAGTGAAGGTCACACGTAGGGAGAGAGGGAGAATGAAAGTCAAACACAAGAGAGAGAGACAGTGAGAAGGGTAGGGGAGAGAGAGAGAATGCTAAACAGTGGGAAGAGAGAGTAAATGTCAAACAGGTCTGAGAAATACCATTGACAGATTGGACTGAAAGAATCTGCAGTAGCACTGGACGCTGGAATTATTGAAATGTTCATAAAAGGGAATCGGGTAGATACGTGGAGAAGAAACATTTTGAAGGGATATTGGGGGAGTGGGTGGAATGGGGAGTAATTGAACAGATCTTTCAAAGGGCAGGGAGAGGCATGCGGGGCTGAATGGCCCCCTCCTGAGCTGGAAGCTTCTCTGATAATTCAATAAACTAACACTGAGCAGGTACAAGTGCTGGATGGTGAACGGTCAGTGAGACGAGCTGTTACTCACCAGCAATGCCAAGGAAATGGTCATTGTGAAAGCACAACCACTCATTCCAGCCAATCCCAGCAGGTGGAGGGTCCTACGTCCCATTCTCTCCACCAGGAATAACTGCCGAGCAGGAAAATAGGGAGACAGCTTCAGTTCAAATCCTGTAAATTGTTCCAGACTCAAACCAGGGGACAAGTCACTGCATTGAGGGTGGGAGCATGGGAAAAATGATCAGGAGCAGGAAACTGAACTAATATTTCCTCCCTCTGTCCCAGGGTCACTGTGCAGTACACTGTTCCCATCAAACATTCGCAGCACAGTGACAGCACGGCATTGGATACAGAGTAAAGAGCTCTCCACACTTTTAAACTGGAAGTAAAGCTCTCTCTACACTATCCCCATCAAATACTCCCAGCACAGTGACAGCACAGCATTAGATACAGAGTAAAGCACTCTCCACACTTTTAAAATAGAAGTAAAGCTCCCTCTATCCTATTCCCATTAAACATTCCCAGCAAGGCAACATGGCATTAGATACAGAGTAAAGCACTCTGTAAACTTTTAAAATGGTAGTAAAGCTCTCTCTACACTATTCCCATCAAACACTCCCAGCACAGATACAGCATGGCATTAGATACAAAGTAAAGTACTCTCTACACTTTTAAAATGGAAGTAAAGCTGCCTCTACACTATCCCCATCCAACACTCCCAGCAAGGTAACATGGTGGCTCAGGGGCTAGCATTCCTGCCCCACAGCGGTAGGCACATGGATTGGATTCTAGCACTGGTGACTATCTGTATGAAGTTTGCACGTTCTCCTGGGTGCTCCAGGTTCCTTGCACAGTCCAGAGATATGCAGGTTAGGTGGATTGGGCGTGCTGACCAGGGATGTGCAGGTTTGTTGGTTTAGTCGTGGTAAATGCTGGGTTATGGGGAAAGCGTGAGGGGGCTTGGTCTGGGTGGGATGCTCTTCGGAGGATCGGTGCAGATTTGATGGGCTGAATACCCTCCTTTCGCACCGTAAGGATTCCACAATTCAATATACCTGCTGTCCTAATCTCCAAACTATTATTAATCCAGGAGCTCACGAGCACATTGCAGTCTGGGTGACCTTGCTGTGTGTGAGATGGGCTGCTATGGCCACTATGTTTTATTCTGAGGCAGAAAGTGCTTCGTCAGTGGAAAGCCTTTGGGTTTGTGCTGATAGGGACTACAGGGAGGCAAGTCTTGGTGAGAAGACAGGTCTCTGCTCCCTCACACACCCTATCTCTGGACTGAACGGAACGTCATTTCAGAAAGCCCCACATCGGAGCTAATGTTGGCCACCAGTGTGTGTGCTCCACAGAGTAAGTAGCATCTCGTATATACTCACAGAGACAACAGTGAAGGCAGTGTTGATGACCCCAACACCAATAGTGATATAGACTGGCTGCTGGATGCCCATACCAATGAAGATGCTGGTCGAGTAATAAAAGACCTAGCGGGTGGGGGAGAGAGAGAGAGACATTAACCGTTTTCTCAAAATCGTTTGGTGATTCAAAGAAAATAAGATGATTAGAAAGAGGAGCAGGAGAAGGCCAATCAGCCCTTCAATAACGACATGGTTGACCCGATTCTGGCCTTGACTCCACCAGATATCCCTCAATTTGCTTGTCAACCAAAAGATCTGGTTGACCCGATTCTGGCCTTGACTCCACCAGATATCCCTCAATTTGCTTGTCAACCAAAAGATCTGTCTCTCTCAACCTTGAGTTCATTCATTGTGTTATCGCTGGACTGTCAATCCAGAGACCCAGATAACATTCTGGGGACCCGGGTTCAAATCCCGCCACGGCAGATGGTGAAATTTGAATTCAATAAATATCTAGAATTAAGAATCTAATGATGACCGTGAATCCGTTGCTGATTGTCGGAAAAACCCATCTAGTTCACCAATGTCCTTTAGGGAAGGAAACTGCCATCCTTACCTGGCCTGGCCTACATGTGACTCCAGACCCACAGCAATGTAGTTGACTCTTAAGTACCCTCTGGGCAATTAGAGATGGGGCAATAAATGCTGCCTAGCCAGCGATGCCCTCATCCCATGAATGAATAAAGGAAAAAAAAATGACCCAGCTTCTCTGGGGAAGTGTTGCCAATGACCAATGACCCTCTGACAGACAGCATTTATCTTTACCTCTGGCCTAAATTATTTGCAAACTGTGCCCCCTAATTCCAGATTTCACCTACAAGTTGCCCTCCCAGCCACTCGCCATCCTGCCTTGAAAATATATCGCCATTCCTTCGGCGTCGCTCGGTCAAAATCCTGGAAATCGCTGCCTAACAGCATCATGGGTCAACTGATAGCACATGGACTGCAGCGGTTCAAGTAGGCAGCTTCTCAAGGAGCAATTAGGGATGGGCAATAACGGTCATGACGCCCACACCCCATTAATTAACAACAAATAGAATTGGCCCCAAGAGGGGAAAGATCCTCTCAGTGTCCAGCCTGTCGCATCCCCTCAGGAGCTTATACTTCGCAATAATATCACTTCTCATACTCTGTCATTTATTGCTGAAGGAATAGCGTATAAAAGTAGGGATGTTTTGCTGCCACAGTACAGGCATTAGTGAGACTTCACCTGGAGTATCGTGTACAGTTTTGATCTCCTGCTTGAGGAGGAATGTGGTTGCATTGGAGGAAGTGCAGAGGAGGTTCACTAGATTGATTCCAGAGATGAGGAGTTTGTCTTATGAGGAGAGATTGAGCAGTTTAGGCCTATCCTCCCAGGAGTTCAGAAGAATGTGAGGGATATAATTGAGGTGTATGTGATGCTGAAGGGCAATGGGAAAGTAGATGTAGAGAGGGTGTTTCCTCTTGTGGGGCAGTCTTGAATGGGGGTATTGGACACAGTTTTAGGATAAGGGGTGGCAGATTTAAAATGCAAATGATGAGGAATTGCTTCTCTCAAAAGTTTGTGGATCTGTGGGATCACTACCTCAGTGTGTGTTGGACGCTGGGACATTGAGTAGGTTCAAGGAGGATATGGACAGGTTTTTTTTGTTGGCAATGGGTTAATGGGTTACGGGGAATGAGCAGGAAAGTGGAGTTGAGGCTGTGATGATTGTATTACATGGCAGAGCAGGCTTGGGAGGGGGCTCTGAATGGCCTTCTCCTGCTCCTATTTATTATGTTCTTCTATTCTGTCAATCTTCCAAATTCCAGTGAGTACAGGGTCAAACAGCTCAAACCTCCCTCACAACATAAAGCCCCACATCAGAGGAAACAGGTGAATGAAACTTCTCTGAACTGTGTCCAATGTAAGTATATTCCTCCTTACATAAAGAGACCAAAACAGCGCACAGTACTGCAGGTGCGATCTCACCAATGCCCTGTATAGTTGCCAACTTTTGCACTTCATTCCTCGTTGCAATGGAGGCCATTGTGCTTTCCAAGTTATGCACTACACTTTCACATTAACTTTTTGTGATTCATTACAAGGACACCCCGTTCTCCCTGTGCAAAAGCATCACTCAGCTTCTCCCCGTCGAAAGCTAATGCTGCTTTACAACTCTGCCCAAAATACCTGGGCATCCTCACACATTCCCACATTATGCTTCCATCTGCCACCTTTTCAACCACTCGCCGAACACATTTTCCTCTGGGAGAGTCTTTGCTGTGGATTTTCGCAGTGACAGAAAGCTGAAAGCCTGAAGTCTTGCTTACCACAAACGTGGGATCTACTTTTCTCATGGGGTTGAGGGAAGAGAGGGTTGTGCTTCACATATGCACGGTTCTTGTATACAATTTCCAAAATAAATCAGCTGTTATCTCTATTCCTGTCCGATTCAGTCAATCTGAGGATCCCAAGCATGAAGTGTACAGATCAGACCTGGTCAATGCAGGTTTAAAACATTGCAGGAGCCTTTGGAAAACTGGTGAATCCATGCGGCTCTGATCCCAGGACATCTTTGGCGATGGTCGGGCTCCTTTTGAAATTGATAAAGTGGATGTGAATGTGTAAAATGTTGGTAAATGCGTCAGAATAGTCAAACACAGGTGTTAAAAAAAAAGCAACTATCAAACTGTCAAGTTATTTACAAGTCCTGCTCTTTGAATATTTGAAAGATGAGTGTTGAAAAACACTCTTTGTGGAGCACCTACGCTCGGTTTATGACAAACGACTGCACCTCCCAGTCACGAACCACTTCAACTCCCCCTCCCACTCCTTGGACGACATGTCCATCCTGGGCCTCCTCCAGTGCCACAACGATGCCACCCGAAGGCTGCAGGAACAGCACCTCATATTCCGTTTGGGAACCCTGCAGCCCAATGGTCTCAACGTGGACTTCACAAGCTTCAAAATCTCCCCACCCCCGACCTCATCCCAAAACCAGCCCATCTCGTCCCCGCCTCCTTGACCTGTCTGTCTTCCCTCAACTGACCAACTCCCATCCCAACTCCCTACCTACACTCACCTTTACTGGCTCCATCCCCGGCTCCTTGACCTATCCGTCTTCTCTCCACCTATCTGCTCCTCTATCCACCTTCCATCATCGCCTCCCCCTCTCTCTATTTATTATAGAGTCCCCTTCCCCTCCCCCCTGAAGAAGGGTCCAGACCCGAAACGTCAGCTTTCCTGCTCATTTGATGCTGCCTGGCCTGCTGTGTTCATCCAGCTCGACACTGTGTTATCTCAGACTCCAGCATCAGCTGTTCCTACTATCTCTGTTGAAAAACATCACTGTTTGCTATTTCATGTTGTCTGTTGACATAAGCCTTAGTGGTTCCATACTGAGGAGCGTTGGTTATCACAGGAGTATGACTGTGATTGACAACTCCAATGGTCGCATGCTCTGAAATATGACGAGAAATTCCACAACCGATTGTTGTGAAGGAACATTCACTTGGATTTAGTGTTTATTGCAGTGGCCATCAGGACAACTTGCAATTACGCAAGTAAATGAAAAGTTACATTTATATTGTACGAGAGTGCTGAATAGTTTGTAAGTCTGACTGGCAGAGGCATGACTGTGGAGAGTGCACCAGTTGATGATGACAAACAAACAACTGACAATATTCCTTTACAACCAAGCAAGTCGATTCTGATTGGTGAAGGCATTGTCCTGAGACATAAGCCAGAGAATTTTGTTGAGTTCAAAACAGTACAGTGCATGCACGCAACCTGTCCGTCTTCTCTCCCAACAATCTGCTCCTCCCACCTCACTGACCGATCCTCACCACTCCCTATCTGCACTCACCTATCGCCATCCTACCTACCTTCCTCAGCCCCACTTCTCCTCCCTCTCTTTATTTCTGAGTTCCCTTCCCCCTCCTCCTTTCTGAATAAGGGTCCCGACCCGAAATATCAACTTTCCTGCTCCTCTGATGCTGCCTGGCCTGCTGTGTTCCTCCAGCTCCATACTGTGTTATCTCTGACTCCAGCATCTGCAGTTCTTACTATCTCTCAGTGCATGTACATGGTTTTTTTTTCTGTCTGTAAGGAACAGAGTTCCATATGGTAGCTTCTAGTGCATGCAAGTGAACCACAGCAAACCCAGTGACAATCCTAAATTGGATGCAACATGATATTGTGTCGATTTAACATCTCTACATTATAGTACGTCATTTTTAGTGCAAATATGACGCTCAGTGTACAGAGTATACTGTATGCACAGAGCCCATCCAAAATGGATAACAGATGAATTTGTGAATTAGATGTAGGAATAAATGCCGGACAGTGAGAGTTGGCACTAAGTTCTCATAGGGGCTGGATGGGGCCATGGGTGGGTGCAGGGCCCTAGGTAGGCACAGAAGTTATGAGACTTCCCTATCTCTGTAACCTCCTCCAGCACCTACACGCCCTCCCTATCTCTGTAACCTCCTCCAGCCCCCTACACCTCCTCTTTAACTCAGTACCCTCCTCCAGTCCCCTACAGTCCCTCCCTATCTCTGTAACCTCCTCCAGCCCCTACACCCCTCCCTATCTCTGTCACCTCTTAAAGCCCCTTCAACACTTCCCTATCTCTGTAACTTCCTACACCCCCTCCCTATCTATGTCACCTCCTCAACCCCTTTCACCCACTCCCTATCTCTGTTACACCATCCAGCCACTACACCCCATCCCTATCTCTGTAACCTCCTCCAGCCCCCTATACCCACTCCCTATCTCCGTCACCTCCTCCAGCCCCTACACCCACTCCCTATCTCCGTCACCTCCTCCAGCCCCTACACCACCTCCCTATCTCTGCAATCTACTCCAGCCTCTACACCACCTCCCTATCGCTGTAACCTCCTCCAGCCCTGACAACCCTCCCTATTTCTGTAACCTTCTCCAGACATGACACCCCTCCCTATCTCTGTAACCTCCTCCAGCCCCTACAGCCCCTCCCTATCGCTGTAACCTCTGCCAGCCCCTAAACCCCCTCCCTATCGCTGCAACCTCCTCCAACCCTGACACCCCTCCCTAACTATCTAATCTCCTGCAGCCCCTACAC